CACGTTAACATCAGGGTTTTCCAGAGCAAATACCTGCATGAAGAAAAATGCACATAAAAGAATATTATATCTATTTTATAGATTATAGAGATATTGTGAATTAAAAAATATATATATACCTTAAAGTACATTTCTCGTGCTGCTTTCACGGAAGCGTATTGGCCAGCGCCAGTGCACGGTTGAACTGCAAACATGGATGTAATATTGATAACCGTCTTTTTAATAGTTTTACTAGCAAACATATTCATGACCACCGCGTTTAATACGGTAGGTACAAAAAAGTTTAAATCGTAGAATTCTCTCCAGATTTTCAAGTCCAATAAATCGTTTATTGCTAGAAAGAAATCGCCCGGGGAACCAACATTATGTACCAGAATCACTCGATCAAACGCGTTGAAAGTAGTTCCCCTCAATGATTCCGACATGAATTCTAGGACACATAAAAATAAAATTATTGTCATAAAATTGAAATTCTTTCTGGTCATTGCATCCATACGTGTCCAAAATATTTTAAAAATAAGAATGATTAGCTTTGAATTTAGTATCAGTTGATTTTAGAGGTATGCGAATAGTTCGAATTCGAATCGAATCGAATCGAATCACAGTGGATTTCGTGATATTTATTACGTTTAATAATTAACATGTAATGTAAATCTGGGAAAATTTGAATCAGATTCGATTCGTATTCGAATTAAAGAGATATTCGACTCGATTCAATTCGATTTTGAACATATGTTATAAAAAATTCGACTTGATTCGATTCGATTATGCAAATGCTTGATTCGCACATCTCTAGTTGATTTATTCAAGACCACACGATTTACCTTTTAATTTGGTATCAGTTGATTTACTTAAGTCCGCACTAATGGTACAGACTTTCACTTTGGACGGTATACTTTTTGCAACTTCCTGCAACGCATCCTTATTCCTCGCTAATAAAAGCACGCGCGAATCTTTCTCCAGCATCGAACCAAGTGTTATCGCGATTTGGCGACCGATACCGCGACTCGCACCAGTTATTATCATAAAAACTTTGCCGGATAATGCTTCGACCGACATGGTGTCCTATGACTTATGTCGCAAATTTCGGGAAACTATTTAGTAGCCTCTGAATTGTGCTCTGTTGACGGCTAGGGTTCACCATTTGCAATTCCTTTGTAATATCTTGTTCTCGCTTATTGGCTTGTACTTATACAGTCACTTGAAGTACATCCGCTTTCAGGAGATAAACTAAATCGCTAGCTGTTAAAGGTTAAAGGTCATAAAAACTAAACTAAATAAGTTTACAGATAAGTTTTTTGAAAAAAAAGGAATGATTCTATTTTGGAACATATACCTATATATATATTGGGTAGTAACTAGTTAATTAAAAGTTAAATAAAAAAATTAAGTAGTTGATAACTTTTAACTCAACTGAGATAATTTTAAATGAGTTAATTTTTAACTTCAATAAATTAATTTTTTTTAAACACAAACTTTAACTTATCATTTTTCTTAAGTTAAGAAATTTCTTTATTTCTCTAAACGGCAATATTGTTTTTCTATAAAATTCTAAATATTTTAGCGAATTAGTTTAGATAAATCTTAAAGCTCAAAATTATATTCGTAATCGGGCGCGATGTTTTCAGTGTCCAAAGGTGTAGAGAAATTGACAAACTTAGAGTTCTGTTTTACGCATGATGCACACAATGCATAATTTATCTTTGTTTAACATTCTGTAAATAACAAAGACAACATAAATGACGCATTATGCGTAAACTGTAGATATAATGATACAGCGTTTAATTATAACAACAATAGCAAATGCTCTCTGAAGGCAACCTTATTATTAGAATAAAAAGGCGATGTTTATTAAAACAAATCAAATATTAAAATTTG